ACCCTGGAGATGAAGTGCCAAAATGTAGTAATGTATTGGGTTTAAATTGGGATACTGAGAGAGATTTGTTAATGTTAAAACCTAATAATTACAATATGCCCAATAAATTAACTAAGAGAGTTTTACTTGCTTAAGTTTCCAAATGTTTTGATCCACTAGGTTTAGTTTCACCCCTTACTATAGGAGGGAAATTATTAATTCAGGAAGCATGGAAACTTAAATGTGCTTGGGATGAAATTCTACCTGAGGAATTCATTAACAAGTGGGATGAATTAATTGGTGATTATGAAAAAATTCCAATGTTGGAGTTCCCATGCAAGGTGGCCAATCCAAATGGGAAAAATGTACTCCACATTTTTTGTGATGCTTCAAAATTGTCATATGGAGCAGTTGCTTACCTTCAATGTAATAGTGTTATTTCTCTTATGTCTAAGGCTAAAGTGTCTCCAATTAAATTGCGCACCTTGCTTCAGTTGGAATTAACAGCCATTTATGTAGGTGTCAAATTAGCTAATTATATAAGAAATAAGTTGCAGGAGATAAATATTAGCGACACTGTAATTTGGTCTGATAATGAGGTATCCTTACAATGGATTCGTAATGGAAACAGTAAAATTGTGTACGTACAAAACAGAGTCGCTGAAATTAACCAGATGCAAGAGAAGTATAATAGTTTGGGTCAGCATATGTTAACATTTAATCATATACCTGGTGAGGAGAATCCAGCTGATTTCTTGTCTCGAGGTTTACCTTATGCTAAATTTGTAAATGCTGTATCATGGTTTAAAGAACCGAGTTGGTTGGTAAATAAAGCTAATTGGCCTGTACAAAAGGCATATATTGCTTCTGTTGTAATTACTGTGACCACCGCTCCAATAGTTTGTCCTCCCTTAGCCGTTGATATAAACAGGTATTCTTCTTTACCCAAACTAATCAATGTAACTAAGTTGGTGTTTAAATTTCTAAACAAGATGAATATTTCATTTAAGTTTTCACATCCTCTTGAATATTGGATAAAGAGGGTACAGGAGGAAATCTATGGAAGTGAGATTAAATTGATGATGGAAAGAAAAATTGTGAAAGGTTCCATAATAGAGAAGTTGGGGCTGTATTTAGAGAACAATGTAATTAGGTGCAGAGGTAGGTTACAAAACGCTGAATTGGATGATTATGCTAAACACCCTATCTTACTGCCCAAAACTCATCATCTAACAAATTTAATTGTTCTAAATGCCCATAAAAATGTAATGCATGGTGGGATACAAGATACCTTAAATTGTATTAGGGAAACTTTCTGGATTCCACAAGGACGGCAAAGTGTAAAAAGGGTGATTAAATCTTGTGTAATATGTCGCCGTGTGGATGCCAGATCCTATATGTACCCAGGTCCTTTCACGGCGCGCATAACGGAGATAAAACACCTCAATTACTGGGAGCGCTTGAGGTTCCTAAACCTGTATTCCCTGGAACGCAGGAGGGAGAGATACATGATTATATACACCTGGAAAATCCTAGAGGGACTAGTACCGAACTTGCACACGAAAATCACTCACTACGAAAGCAAAAGACTTGGCAGACGATGCACCATCCCCCCAATGAAAAGCAGGGGTGTCACTAGCACGTTAAGAGACCATACAATAAGTGTCAGGGGCCCGAGACTGTTCAACTGCCTCCCAGCACACATAAGGGGGATTACCAACAGACCCCTGGCAGTCTTCAAGCTGGCACTGGACAAGCACCTAAAGTCACTTCCTGATCAGCCGGGCTGTGGCTTGTACGTTGGTTTGCGTGCAGCCAGCAGCAACAGCCTGGTTGATCGGGTTCTGATCCACCAGGAGGCCTGGTCACAGACCGGGCCGCGGGGGCGTTGACCCCCGGAACTCTCTCCAGGTAAACTCCAGGTAAACCATTGTCAGATGAGCAATTTGAGTCGTTTAGCAATGATCTCTGGCCGGCCGCAGTGTGGAAAATACTGTATATATTTTCCAGAAATTCAGTATTTATATGTAAATAGATGGCCATACTGTATTTAATAATATTTATGTCATAGAAAACGGAAAGCCTGCGTCTGCGCAGACGAGAGACTCGCCATCTTGGTTTTGAATTGGATACAACGTTAGTATAATGGGAAGAATTTTTCATGCTCTAGAGGTTAAAATTGGATTGACACCTCTCAAATAGGAGGCGAAATTGTTGGATGTGCATTCCTGCATAACTTGAGATATCAGACGACTGGACAAGACAGCTCCATGAACCTCAGATAAGCTCTCTAGATTTGTGTATAATTCTGGCCAGTGTTTTCATAAATTTAGTTAGTGAGGTTTTTCTGAGTATGATACAACTTAATATCCAGTCAAATTGGTGAGTGATATTAAGATACATTTTCCTTCTGTTTTGTATATGTGAATTTATATACAATCATTTTTTAATATACAGTCCACAAATTTATATATTTACCAGCATTCCTGGTGATGTATATTTCATTTAATTAATAGGTCCAGAGCAACTTGTGGATATGACAGTTGTAGGCATCGAAGGGGGACATTTTTGCGACCTAGGTGTCCCAAATTCCTACTTGTCTATGTAACACTGATAAATAATAATTATATTTGTTATCATTTACTGTTATGTACATAATTAGTTACATTCAGATAAATGCAATTTTCCACAAAAACTACACAAAGTTTTAGCTTCTATAACTGTAGTCGGGAGTTTGTTCCACTCATCCACAACTCTATTACCAAACCAGTGCTTTTCTATATCCTTCCTGAATCTGAATTTTTCCAACTTAAAAACAATTGCTGAGAGTCCTGTCTTGGCTAGATATTTTTAGCATGCTATTTACATCCCCTTTATTTATAATAATGTAGAACTATCAGCTTAATAATGTAGAAATCAGCTTATTAATGTAGAACTTAGCTGTACAGAATGCAAAAAGGACTTGGGGGTTATGGTAAGTAGCAACCCCAAACCAAGACAGCAATGCCCAAGCGCGCGCAACAGGGCACACAGATTACTGGGATATATATATAAAAGTGTAAGAAACATAAGTCCAGCGGTTATACTAAGCTTTATATATCTTATGAAGCCAAGGATTCTGTTCACTTTATTGCGAACACTTATGCACTGTCTTGGTTTTAGATTACTGCTAACCAGAACTCTCAAATCCTTTTCGCAATCAGCAATATTAAGATCTACATTATTTAGTTTAAATGTAGCATGGTTATTTTCCTGTCCAATGTTTAGAACTTTGCATTTGTCTATATTAAACTGCATCTGCCACTTCGACCACTGCATCAGTCTATTCAAATCTTCCTGGAGTTCTCTAATGTCCTTGTCAGAATAAATTCGTCAGCCTATTTTGGTGTCATCGGCAAACTTGCTTATATCGCTATTTATTCCCTCATCTACGTCGTTTATGTAGATTGTGAACAACAAGGGGCCCAACACTGACCCCTGTGTAGGTGAATGGTTCAGAGAATCGACAAGTTGATAAATTAGACGCATGTGTCTTATTTATCAACTGACCCCTGTGGAGGAGAGGTGCAGCAGTCGAAGGTGGTGTCACATTTGACAGATCCAAACGTGGAAGTAGGTAATGCCTAAAGGTTAGGCAAGTGAAGAATTCCCTGAATTAAGATCCCAAGATGTTGCTAAGTCTGACAGTGTCTTGGATTTGTTTGGATTTGTCAAATGTGACACCACCTTCGACTGCTGCATCTCTCCTGCCTACAGTATGTTACCTGGAGAGGGTTTCAGGGGTCAACGCCCCTGCAGCTCTGTCTGAGACCAGGCCTCATAGTGGATCAGGGTCTGATCAACCAGGCTGTTACTGCTGGCTGCATGCAAACCGACGTACGAACCACAGCCCGGTTGGTCAGGTACTGACTTTAGGTGCCTGTCCAGTGCCTTCTTAAAGACAGCCAGGGGTCTATTGGTAATCCCCCTCATGTATGCTGGGAGGCAGTTGAACAGTCTTAGGCCCCGGACACTTATTGTGTTGTCTCTCAATGTACTCGTGGCGTCCCTGCTTTTCACTGGGGGAATGTTGCATAAGCCACTTCTTCGCACATATGCTGTATTCTTTTCAAGATTGATCAGGACTGATTACATCGACTCAAGGCTGAGGAAATGATTACCGCAATCTCCTCCTGTTCTTCACAATTCTCCTTTGTATGGTCTGATGAAGCCACTGTTTGGCGAAACGTTTCCTCATTAAAGATACCCAAGTGTTGCACATGTATCTAATTTATCATCAAAAGCCTTACTGAAGTCCATATAGACAATATCATACACAAATAATCCGCACATTGAAGAGAGGAGCTTATGACTACGTTTCGGTCCGACTTGGACCATTTACAAAGTGACTTTGTAAATGGTCCAAGTCGGACCGAAACGTCGTCGTAAGCTCCTCTCTTCTATGTGCGGTTATTTGTATATCGTTCCAGTCACGGTATTGTGCCTTTTTTGTTATTTTTAGACAATATCATGTTCATTACCATGATCTACCTCCTCAGTCAGGAACGCCCTTTTGTAAAACCGTACTGAGACTCGTTGATCAATTTATGCTTTTTAAGATGGCTACAAATTGCCTCAGCAATTATTGATTCCATAAATTTTCCCACTATGGAGATTAGGCTTATTATTGGTCTATAGTTTGAAGCTAAGGACCTGTCACCTGCCTTGTAATTAGGTGATCACATTTGCCATTTTCCACTTATTTGGCACTATGCCAGTTTGTAGTGATATGTTGAAAAGATTAACCAAAGGTTTGCTAAGGTCCTCTTTACATTGCCTAGAATGGGACACTAGGCCTACTACAGTGTTCGTAATATGTCAAGTAAAATAAGTTTATATTTCCCGCGAGATGAGGGAGCCGCGTCTCGCGGAGTCTCGCACATCGCGAGCTCATCCACAGCTTCAAACAACGGCGGGTTCGTATATTTTTTTTCAAATTTTCTCTGACGATTTTGAGATTACATCTGGCTGACGTTAGTGTCTGGATATTAGTGGTGATGGGAGAAGAGGGCGGGGCGGCGAGAGAGGTGGTAATAAAGGCGTGGAAGGCCTTAATAACGAGTGAGGAGCCATTATACCGAGGTCTGAGGCCAAACAACTCCCACACTTGTTTGTTTTGGTTTGACAATTCGCCCGCGCAAACTGGGAATAAATTCAATTTTGCCATCTAAATCTGTATGTATTGGAAATTCCTGGTAATAATTAAGTGGCCAGCGTGTGAGCATTTATTCACACCAGGTTACAAACACACTCGTCTTGATTTATTGTAGAAATCAAGTTTCTTCCAGGAGTCGTGTGCAGAAGGAACATGTAAATCCTGAAGGACAAGAAATACGAGTAAGTTTATTCAGGTACACATATACAGTTGCATAAAGTATCATACATAGCAGCATATGTATACATTATCTAGGATTACTCAATGAAAGTCAAAGTGACTTATTTCCATTGGGGTTCTTGATTCCATTGTGGGTAAATTTTCTATGGTTTTTAGGCCAGAAGGACTTTATTTTTTCTTTATTACTTATGCGTTTTATGCTTTTTATTTTCCTTGGCTATTATAACTTTGTTGTATAATTTTGATATTTTCTTAGGCCTTCATGTATCATAGAATCATTGAATTTTTAACTGAAGCCAAAGTTCTCTTTAAGTTTTTATTTAGGCTTTGCATACATATATACATTTTTTTATATAATGCTCTTGAGGCCACACATGTACACATAAAAGGTACATTATGTAGACTTAACATAGTATAACCCAGTAAGGTCAGTGAATTATTTCATTTGTAAATTATATTGGTTTTTGATAGACAATAATTGTGGTGAATATCATATAAGGAATGTTTTACAGTAGTTGTCCATTTTGAGTGTTGATACTAATGCAAGTTAAGTAATTTGTTCTTTATATCATAAAGTGATATTGTCTTTGAATTTAACTTTGTCTATGTTTGCATTTTTTGTGTGTGAATAATTGTGGTATGTAGTAATTAGATTTTGAGTTTTATTTTGTTGTAAATGTACCTGGAGATGAAAGTGTATTTTGGGGAGGATTCTCTCTCTAGTGTTTAAACAAAGCTTTGAATTAGACCTATTTTAAATTGTTACATTAAGGCTCTTATTTTCCAAGTATTTTTTTGCAATTGATACATTTGCTTCTTAGTAATTACCTATCTATAGTCTTAAAACAGAGCTATGTTTGTGTTATCCCATATTCAGTAATTTCTAATGGCTGTAACAGTTTTTACTTACTCTTTTAATTTATTCCATTCTTCAAATAAAATTTCTTAGTATTTTTCCAGTACCATTTTTTCTTAATTATAAATGTAAATTTTTAATATCAAAATGATAGTCATCAGAGAATTCATGAATATAAATATTTTCAGTATCTTCACTGGTGGCGTGTCCCAACTTGGGCATGCCAAGATGCCGCGCAATAGACAGTCTTCTTTGGGGTTCACCCTGTCTCCAACTAAGCGGCATAGTGTTCTATCCACCCACCACCCTGACACTGTCCGTTCCAGGAGGGATTCTGTTCATGATGTCTCCATGACATCTGATCAAGTTTTTCTTGAAGTACCAGAAGTGAGTATATTGAAAAGGTTGAGTACAGTATTAGCATTTCCTCTTCATCTCTAGCATATTAAGTTTTAAAAGCAATAATAAATATTTTTAAATTGATAAGTTTTTCACAACATTCCATGCTGTGTTCAAAATAATATCATATGGACACTTATGATTAAGATTAATTATTTCATAGCACTGCTTACAAGCTTAGGCATTTTAAAAATTTTACATTCCTGCTTTAAATTTATTATTATATGTGCATCGTAGTTGTCAGATTTGGCACAGTCATGTAAAGTACTGTAGGTCATTATTTAAATTAAAATTTTTTTTGCATTCTATTAAGTTCCAGCAGCAACACAATATTGTGTACAAACCTTTTTTCAGTATATGACTTGTATTTGCATATTGTAGACAAAAATGCATTTGAAAATGCAGAAAAAAGAGGAACAGAATTAAGCTGAGAACTGGTTAGGGAAGCCATGTAGTATGTTACTTCCTGATTGTAGCTACATGAGCAGAACTAAGCTTGCAGTTCCCAAACTTAAATATTTAGTCTGTCCTAAAGTCTCCACTGGTTGTAGCAATTTTATTGTGGCGACGTTTCCCTCTCCAGGAGCTTTATCAAACCATTACAAACAATGCACGGACACAGAGGGTATATATAGGCTTAGTGAGGTGTAATACTGGTGGTAGTAGTAGTAATAATGTTAGTTGTTGTAGTTATACAATATGGTAGAACAGTCAACTTGCACATGAGTAAAAGGTTATAAAAGCTATTACCAACACCACTCCTAACAAAATTATAATTCTTCCCAACAGCTAGGTTGCACTGAATGTTTCTAAAGTACTAGCACAAGCTAACACTAGTCGCCATCACTTCCAGCACTTCAATAAATGATCTAACTAGGACAAAATTCAAGCACTATGAACCAGTCAATGCAGGGGTTTACACTATACCCTGTGGAGGCTATGATAGGATTTATGTAGGTGAAACAGCAAGAAACCTCGAAACACACCTCAATGAACGCATTAATGCATGTAGGAACGATAACATGAACAATGCCTGTGTACAACACTGAAATTCCACCAATCATCTCGTGAAATTCAGGGACGCCCGATTAGTGATCAAAGAAACTAATTTGCGCAGACACAAGTGCCCTGAATCAGCATTAATCACTGTTTCAAACACATAAAACAAAGGTAGCTTCATTGTCTCTGAAGTCTTAGCGAGAATCCTCCTGAAAACAGTAAACCCTGCCATCACATAGTCTCTCCTGCTAATACTACATAAGCACATTACAGAGGAGGAGCACTGAAACAGGCCTTGTCTAATCCAACCTTCAACAGAAATATTTGTCTAACTTATTTTTATGCTACCCAAGTAATAGCTTTTATAACCTTTTACTCATGTGCAAGTTGATTGTTCTACCATATTGTATTACTACTACAACTAATATTATTACTACTACTACTACTAGTATTACACCTCACTGTGAGCCTATATATACCCTCTGTGTCTGTGTATTGTTTGTGACGGCTTGATAAAGCTCCTGGAGAGCAAAACGTTGCCACAATAAAATATCGCATTAGTTGCATTTATGTTCTTTTTACTTAACACTGTATTACTGTTCGGGTGGGTGATAGTAGTAGTTACTGAGAAGCCCGACTGAGCAGCAAGAAAAGAAATACTCATGACAGTGGCTGCACAAAATAAATTTTTGTATCTCCATATTAAAAATGTTTGTACATAAGATTTCTGTTTTTCATTCTCCATTATTTTCTTAACTAGTCCAGTTGTGAATGTTGTAATTTATGTATTCAACAAGGAGAGTGGTGCCACACAAGCCATTCAGTATGAAAGCTTGTTAATATTATAACATTTATCTTTTAGTTACAATGTTTCTATATATGTAAAGTGCTTTTCACATGTTATTCATTGTTTCTATTACTCTTAATATTTAATTGGGTAGGCAGTAGTAATTTGTTAATTTTGTTTTCAGAACAATGATGAGCGGGAGAAAAAAGAACGGCAGTTAAATCGTCTGCAGCAGCAGTTACAGGCGAGGCAGTTTTCATCCCCCAGCATAGTGCAGTCAGATAAACGCAAGTCCCTCAGTGCTGTTGCTGGACTCACTAACCAGCAACTCACAGAGCATTATGCAAAATGCATTCAGCTCTCAGCTGAAAATGTAAGCATTTTAGCGTAGTTATCACCAGACACTGAATTATAATTGATATTTTGTCCATTTCATTCCTAGTTCTGAAACACCATTATCTAGTCAGTAGGAGAATTGATTTTTATTGTAGGAAAAGGAGAAATCTTTCAACAAACTGGCCGTATCCCACCAAGGCAGAATGGCCCAAAAAGAAAAAAGTTTCTTTTTAACTTTAGTAATGTATACAGGAGAAAGGGTTACTAGCCCCTTGCTCCTGGCATTTTATTCAACTCTTATGACATGCATAGCTTACAGAGGAAGAATTCTGTTCCACTTCCCCATGGGGAAAAAAGGAGAGATGTGTGTAAAAATAATCATATACAGCAGTTTTAGGGATTTCTACAATATCCTGATTCTACAAATTACGTGCAAAGTGCTGAAACAGGCCAGTGTTTTATTGGGTATTAAGATGGTAAACTGATAGGTAGAAAATTTATTACTGATTTCTGTTGCCCATACCCATCATTCTGTTTCGTTTTTAGCTAAATGTTAGTCATGTAAAATTTTTACAGTGAGGAGGAAGCTGGAGGCAGTGGATATGTCATGCCTGAGGGCAATGTGAGGTGTAAATATGCAGAAAATTTGTAGCTTGGAGATTAGGAGGCAATGTGAGGATTACTTAAAGTATTATCCAGAGGCTGAAGTATTATCCAGAGGCTGAAGTATTATCCAGAGGCTGCAGAAGGGTTATTGAGGTGGTTTGGACATTTAGAGAGGATGGAGCAAAATAGGATTACTTGGAAGGTATATAAATCTGTAGTGAAGGGAATGCAGGATAGGGATCATCCTAGGACAGGATAGAGGGAGGGGGTAAAGGAGGTTTTTTGTACAAGGGGCTTGGACATTCAGCATGCATGTGTGTGTTTGTAAGGAGGGAAGGCAAATGATTTTAGGGACTTGCATTGTTGGACTGTGAGCAACGTAACATTTATGAAGGGATTCAGGAAAACTGGTTGGCTGGACTTGGGAAGTACAGTGCCTGCCCTCTGAAGGAGGGGTGGAAATATGTTGCAGTTTTTTTTTAATTGTAGTGTAGTATTGGCACCCCTCTGGCAAGACAGTGATGGAATGATTGATGATGAAAGTTTTTCTTCTTTTTTGGGCCACCCTGTCTTGGTGGGAAATGGCAAATGTGTTAAAAAAATTATTATTATTATTATTATTATTATTATTTTTATTGTTATTCTAGGCAAGGAAATAGTTGCTCACTCTTTTTCACTGTTGAGGTTAGTGGTAACGAGACAATGATACAACCATTGGTGATGCCATGATGAATGCAGTGATAATTTGAAGTCTTTGGGGCACCTCTTAATGAATCCTGTTTTTTTTTTTTATTTTAGTGAAACTTAACAACAGGTTTGTTATTCATGATGTTGGCATTCTCAGAACACAATCTTTTTCTTTCATTTCTGCCTTTCCATCTACTTAAAGTACCAGAAGTAATTATTCCTAATTTATCTTTCTTATTCATTCTAGCTTTCCTTGTGCAAGTCTTCACTGCTGATCTGACTCCCGCTTGCAATGGATACTATATGTTTGACACCTTCAAGTTTGGCCACTTTAAGAAATATATAAAATATGCCTGTAGCTTTAAGAATTTACAATATTTTTCTCCTACAGCTTTTTTTGATCTTTTTTATTCTTTTTATTTTCCAGAAAATCAGCGTAAAAAATGCATTTAATTTGCAGCTCATTGACTATATGTCTGAAATGCTTCGAAGAAAAGATTCTGATATGAACAACTTTCAGGTTAGTTTTGGTAACTTTTTATTTATACCTTTGAGCTATATTTTTAGTACTGTATATTTTCTCAACTGTTATGAAGAATATAGTTTGGGTATTTAGAGAGGATGGAGCAGAATAAGATGAATGAGAAAGAGTATAAATCTTTGGTGGGAGGGAGAAGGTGTAAAGTTCATGCCAGGAAGCATTGGGGGTAAGAGTTAACCCCTAAACGGTCCAAACATATAAATACGTTCTCTCCCGTAGTGCCCCAACTTTTTTGAGAAAAAAAAATAGTTTTATTTTAATAGGAATAAAGAGCATATGGTGCCCAGGCATCCCCAATTTTTTTAATATGGCACATAGTGAGTGCGCACACCCATTCTCTCATATCGTGGCAATGTTGAATGTATGACAAAAAAAAACGTGTACAGTGGACCCCCGCCGTACGATATTAATCCGTTCCTGAGAGCTCATCGTAAGCCGAAATTATTGTAAGGTGAATTAATTTTCCCCATAAGAAATAATGGAAATCAAATTAATCCGTGCAAGACACCCCAAAATATGAAAAAAAAAAAATTTTACCACATGAAATATTAATTTTAATGCACGCAAACTGAAGAAGACATGCACAATTATACTACTCTACTAAGAATAGAATACATGACACTACCTTTATTGAAGATCTAGTGATGATTGATGGGATGGGAGGGGGGAGAGTGGAAGTTATTGTTTAGAAGGGGAATCCCCTTCCATTAGGGCTTGAGGTAGCAAGTCCTTTTCCGGGGTTACTTCCCTTCTTCTTTTAATGCCACTAGGACCAGCTTGAGAGCCACTGGACCTCTGTTGCACAACAAATCTGTCCATAGTGGTCTGTACCTCCTGTTCCTTTAAGATTTGCCTAAAATGGGCCACAACATTGTCATTGTAATGGTCACCAGCACGGCTTGCAATAGCTGTGTTAGGGTGATTTTCATCCATAAAGGTTTGCACTTCAACCTACTTCGCACACATTTCCTTAATCTTTGAAGTAGGCACAATGGATTCCACAACTGGCATAGGCTTCTCAGAGTTAGCCCCAAACCCTTCAAAATCTTTCTTAATTTCCATACTAATTCTCACCCTTTTTACCCCAGGGTTGGCACTAGAAGCTTTCTTGGGGCCCCATGGTAACTTATTTTGCAGTTACAAGCACAAAAAACACTGGGATACGGTGAAACGTACCGAATGTATGCGTGGATGCGACCGCACTGGATGGCTTGTAAACACTGGTGCTGAGGCCACACGTGGGATGCGTCCCGGACGAATCATGTAAGGCGAGTTTTTTAGCGTGAGGCGAGGCAAAATTTTTGCGTTAAAATGTATTGTATGGCAGATTTAACGTAACGCGGTGCCATTGTAAGGCGGGGGTCCACTGTATATACGTTTAGGGCACTAGCGATAAAAACGTATATATATGTTTGGACCGTTTACGGGTTAAAGATATTAAGTGCTGGGAGCTTGAGCACCCAACAGGTTTTGTGAGTGTGTTGGATTGGAGCGAGGTGCGACAAATGGTTTTTACGGTTGGATTTTGTTGTTGGAGTGTGAGCAAGGTAGCATTTAACAGTGCAGTATACCTTTATAGTACAAGAGTAGCGTTATGCTTATATCCTCTCGTCTAGCTCATTGTAAATATTTTATGTATTTCCAATGATTGTGGCAGATAATACTTCCTCTCAGGAGCCCATTCTGGCTATACAGTATTTGTGACTATTTTTCTTTTGTGCACTTTTATTTATTACACTAATTTATGTAGTCTACATTTTCTTTATTTCAGTATCTCATATTCAATCTCATGTATGGTTTTTCATCTGCAGGTTGCTAGCTGTACCTTAGATGCAAGCACAAAGATTTATGCTTATCGTGTCGACAGCGTTCACACAGACACTCTGAAAATGGCAGGTGGCTTAGGGCGCACTCATGAAAAAGAAAAAAGTGGAGATAATGATGTCCATATAGAGGAAGGAGTTGAAGGGGAAAAAAAGAAACGGAAGGTAAATATCAGTTGGCTATGTTCACATTTTTCATGTTTTACAAATTACTTGGTTTGCTTTGTATGCTAAATAAGATAAACCAGATGCACTTTTTTACCACATGAGCAGTCTCCTACCTAGGTAGGGTGACCCTAAAAATGGAAACACATTTGATGTCATTCATTCATTAGCTATCTTGCCAGAAGTGTGCAGACATCACAACTGATTGTGAGCTGTTGAGAAGAGAGACCAGAAATCCTGCTGTCATGTACACAGGTTTCTGTTTCACACTTGTATAGTAGGATGGTAATATCTCCCTGGGTGGTTGCTGTCTACCAGCCTACTATCAGTTGTAGTTCAGAGTTTCCTCTGAACTCTCATGTCTGCACACTTTCGGCAAAGCAGCCATTGAATGAGTGATGGTGAATGTGTTGCCTTGTTTTTTGGGTTACCTTACCTCAGTGGGAGATGATCTGTGTTATATAAAACAAAAAAGGTAGATGAGCTTGTTATTATGCAGTACTCATTTCAGGTTAAAAAAAAAGCTGTTGTGGAAACAAACTTGAAGAATATCAACGTTGCCAAATTTGACCTAGAATACGATGTGGATCCTTTATTTAAGAAGACATCGTCACAGTTTGATGAGGGCCGTTCTGGTAGTGGACAGTTTCTCAATTCTCTTCAGCTACAGGTAATTAATATGAATTTTATTATATTTGTCTGCTCATATACTTTCTTGTCAATACAGTTACAGAGATCTCAAGAGGTTACTCTGTAGATTTTTGCATGTGATGTCATATCAGCTGGGTTGTGTTCACACTGTTGACTTGTTGGTTATAAGGTTGACTGATAAAGCAATCATAGAAACAAGTCTTTATTCTGGGCTGCAATAGTGAAAAACTAACACCTAGCCAAGGGTAAACACTACTAGTTTCATGGAACTACCATATTCTGTTTCTGGGTTCAGTAGAGCAAGACATCAACAACTGTATGTAATTACTTTTGCATTAGGAATTGACTTTGGCCAGTACTTGACACACTTTATTGAAGAGAACACACAAGCCACATCTCTAGTGGTTATGGTAGCAGAAAGGTAACAGGTGACAATAGATGTTATAGTATGATAACTTTCAAGGAAGTCTGACCACCCTCTTGGGCTGTAATATAGAATTTGCTAGGTGAACTACATGACTACTTATATTTGGTTGCTTTGAGAACAGTGCCCCTTTATATTAAGAGTCCATAGACTTACATATTGAACCCTTTTTTGCAATTAATAATAATTTAGTAATTATTATTCACACATATACAGTCCATAGTTGATGAAAGAAAGTAAATATAATAGCAGTGAAATACTCAGCATATTAGGTACAATATGAACATACTTTTTATGAAATCTAGATCATACAGCATTTTAGATAAATAGAAATTTTATATAAAGTGCAACAATGATTATTTTATTTATATAATTACCATGCAATTGTATGAATACTGTACATTATTGTATATGAAAAGTTTGTGCTCTCAACCTCTTTTTGAAAAGAATATTGCTTACATCTCTCATCATTAGAGAACTTCCCAGAATGTACGTATATCAGTTAAAGAACTTTGAAGTTGATATTGTCACATTCTTAGTCATATACAGTATTTGTGCATTCACTGTGCACTGTGTTTTAAACTGTTTCGGTTGGAAGTTGTAGTAAATGAATGTAACTAATATTTCTGCAGGATGATTCTTGTTTCTTGATGCTAGATTCTGAGACAGTTCTGATGGATATGTTGGGAGAGAAAATATCTGCAAAGATAGAAAAGATATGCATACCAGCACCAGGAGGTGAGAGATAGTAATTATATTTACATTCTTAGTTGTGGTAATGTTGATAATGGTTTCATCAGAAGCTTACCTGTGTTTGTAGCATTAGGGCAAATAGTGCTATTACAACTTTATTTGTGGGAATATTGAGAAGAGTGCCATCAAAGGTTTAAGGGAGTTCCAAAACAATATAACCAACTTTTTTGAGATTTGACACTACCATCTTCAAATCTCTTCAGATTTGGTTATCAAGGTTATCTTATGTTCTGAACTCACATTTGTAAATCTTAGCTTAGTCTGACCTACAAGTTAAGAATTATTAACCTGGGTCATTTTAAGGTCACACCAAACAGCATTTTTATTTAGAAGATCATAATTTTGGTAATAATTGCTATACACTTTTTTTTTTTTACGTGGCTGTTTCTCACCGAGGCAGGGTGATTCAAAAAGAAAGAAAAAACTTTTATCATCATTCAACACTTTCACCATCATTCATAACATAATCACTGTTTGCAGGCACTCAGATACACCTATTATACTAAAATAGTAAAAAAAAAAATTTCATAAAATAAACCATGTTAGATAGGAGTGAGTGTAGGCCAATGGTTTTTGGGAATTGACGAGCTGTTGGAGTGTGAGCATGGTAACATTTTGTGAAGGGATTCAGGGAAACCAGTTAGTTGGACTTGAGTGCTGGAGGTAGGAAGCACAGTGCCTGCACTAAAAGAGGGATGGGGATATTTGCTGTTTAGAGGGACATCTGAACTGTCATATCTATGCACCTCTAGCAAGATGTTGATAGTGTGAATGATGGTGAAAGTGTTTCGTTTTTGGGTCACTCTACCTCGGTGGGAGATGGCCAGTGTTTAAAAATATATATATGTAGAAAATGGGACTTGACAGTTATATTTGCTGATGATACTGTGCTTTTAGGAGATTCTGAAGAGAAGTTACAAAGGTTAGTGGATGAGTTTGGAAGGGTATGTAAAGGAAGGAAGTTGAAAGTGAGCATAGATAAGAATAAGGTAATTTTTTTTTTAACACATTGGCTGTTTCCCACCAAGGCAGGGTGACCTGAAAAAGAAGAAACACTTTTGTCATCATTCACTCCATCACTGTCTTGCTAAAGGCATGCGTACACTAAAGTTAAGAAACTGCAACATCACCACACCTCCATTAGAGCACGGGCACACTGTACTTCCTACTTCCAGGACTCGAGTCTGGCTTGCCAGTTTCCCTGAATCCCTTCATTAATGTTACTTTACTCACACTTCAAGAGCACGTCGAGTTATAAAAACCATTTGTCTCCACTCGTTCCTATCTAACATGCTAATGAACCCTTGCTGGAAGTCCAGGCCCCTGGCACACAAAGCTTCCTTTGCCCCCTCCCTCCAGCCTTACTTAGGCCAACCCCTACCCCGCCCTCCACTACTGATTTATTTGCTCTCCAAGTCATTCTACTTCGTTTCATTCTCTCTGAATGTCCGAACCACCTCAACAACCCCTCTTCTCTTCAGCCCTCTGAATAAATCTTTTAGTAACCCTGCACCTCCTCCTAATCTCCAAACTACATATTTTCTGGTTGGTAGGTAAGACACATAGGCAACAGTTAGGCAACTTTATTCCGAAACGTTTCGCCTACACAGTAGGCTTCTTCAGTCGAATACAGAAAGTAGGCAGGAACAGTAGAGATGTGAAGACGAGGTAGTTCCTGACTATGGAACTGAACTTCTCCAGGCTGAGGCGCGGAGCAAAAAAAAATTCGAAAATATATGAAAACTGAGTTATTGTTACCAAAAAATAGCTGAACTTTCTGGCTACACGCTGGTATAATTATTATCCTTGTACGATGTTTCTAAAAGGAATTACAGCCATTTATAACAGGCATGGTGACAGCGCTGACGCAACATGTTGCGTAAGAAGCGCTGACTCAGCTTTGTTGACGTTTTTGTGACGCTTTTCCCCGTGTTATTTTTATCGTTTTCGTACATCTTTTATGTCTAATATAATACAAATTCACCATCTGAGATCATTGCAGAGTGGGTGGAGCTAATGTGATCAAGGAACCAATCGGGAACCCCTGGGAATAGTGCACAAAATGGCCGACACCTCCAGCCAACAAAATATTCCATACCCACGCTAATATCAATTATAAGGCTTATTTATCTATCATAATTGATCTATTATGATATAATGCAATATAATAATAGCATATAAACATAAAAAGTACACCTCAAAAAAAAATATATAGCATAATATGACGCCCCGAGGAATAAATTTCTATCGATATTTCCCCTGAAGGTGAAGAGAGGGTCCGACCTCTCTCATCAGCGATGAGAGAAAACGGATTTACAATGGTTAACTGTAATAAACACTCGTAGGCCGCGGAAAAAGTGTAAAATAATAAAGCGAATTTTTCGGGGAAAAAAATTTTTCCCGGCAGCGGGGGGTGCCGCGCGCTGCGGCCTATATCTCGAAAGTAACTTATTTACCTATTTAGGGGATCACCAGCTTTATTTATGATTGAATTGACTTTATTTCTCACAACAAACATGGGAGAATGATTGTTTTACGGGGTAGCGTTCGTGTTTCTGAACTATCCAAAATATTTTAGATTTATGTGGACAACAAGGCCGACATCTTCCAATATATCAAAAAGTTATGAAACTTTATTTTTTTTTAGCAAGAAGATAAGGTTTATTTTAGAATTCTCATCGACAAGTGATGGAATTAGAGTTGTTCTAGCAGCAGCAAGTGTCAAAACCACTTGTCCGAGTACCACTGACAAACTGTGCCCTGCCAAATGCAATTTTTCGTAAATTTTGCATATTTCATTTCCTTTTTGGCCGATATGATTGAAACTTCAGCACAGCATACTCGATATAACCTTCTAATAGTACACCAAAAATGAACGTAATCGGTCCATAAAAAAAAGTTCGTTAACATGCGGCCAACATCTCCCCTTAAAGGGTGATGGACTGATTACATCGTCTTCACATCTCTTCTGTTCCTGCCTACTTTCTGTATTCGACTGAAGAAGCCTACTGTGTAGGCGAAACGTTTCGGAATAAAGTTGCCTAACTTTTGCCTATGTGTCTTACCTACCAATCTGTCGGTATTGTATACCATTTTGATGTACATATTTTCTGCTTAATATTCACACCACACATTGCCCTTAGACACAACATTTCCACTACCTCCAACCTCCTTGCCCCAACATTTAAAAATCGTGCTTCACACCCATTTCCTAAACTTGTTACATTCTCCCTTGTCCCCTTTTCCCTAATGCAAGAAAATTATGCATGCCCCATGGGTAACTTCCCTTCCCTTTATGCATATTTTGAACAGACACAGGTCACTTCAGCATTATATCCCCACTTGCTTTTAACATCTTTGTCTTAATCCCTTTCATCCCAACCACTTTCATTCTACTTACTGCCACAAGTACGTACTTTCACTGCAAGCATTCAAGTATCAACGAGTCGTGGAGATTACAATAGTATGATTTTACAGCCAGCACTTTTATAATGTGGTTGTATCATCCACTGCCATTTGTGATACTATTGTCTTAACCCAACCACCTCAGCTTTCTTGGTAGTACATATATTTTGATACCCTCATAGCCATATAGTCTATAAACTCATTTGTTAATATAATAATAATCTTTCTTTTTTATTCATATTGCAACTTCAAATTTTTTTGACAGATTTGAATCAGAAGTTGATTTGTCCAACATTTGCATCATTTGAGTTTACAACTTGGAAGTTAGGGGATGACGATTCCTTCTGTGAGTCAACGAAAATGATGCATGACAAAGATGATACATTAAGAAGTGACAAACACCGATTTGATGTTAATGCTGTACCAGTTGATGATTTTGATGCAGATGATTATTATGGTAAGCATATTTGAATAATATTTCATACGAAAGCTGTTGCAAAGTAGTGTCTCTTGAATATAAGTCTTCAGATGTATTTTGAAATTTTGCTAGTGACATGGAAGCTTTTTTTTTTTTTTTTTTAAGACATATGGTAAGAGGAAGAAGAAAAAACCAGAGATAAAGTACATTAATTGCAAGTAGTTGAAGAAAGGAGCCTGAACTTAGGGAATGTGTCAGAATTTTTTATGTGAAAGATAGGGGCCATGCATGTGCCAGATACACCTGTATAAGAAAGGAGAATAAAGGGGGCCCCTGAATTACAAATGCCAGATGTACGATGATCCATTCTTCCAAACAAAATCCAGAAGATTAATACTGAGAAAATAATCGATTCATGAATGCTGATCTGCAATTACAAACGTGTGACAAGTAATTTTATATAGAACTCTCATGCTCCTGTAGGATAAGTGAGGCTTTCAAATGATTTGTTTGTTAGTTGAAATGCTGGAAATTTAATTTATTTTTAGTTTTAAGTTGAAATACTGGAAGCACAACTCATTTGCAAGTTGGAACACTGAGAATCTAACTCATAAGTTGAAACACTGGGAACAAAATTTTTTGCAAATTGACACCAAAAACACAACCTGTTTGTAAGCTGAAATATATGGAATGTAACTTGTTTGTAGGTAGAAGCACAGCAAATGTAACTTGTTTGTGAGTTGAAACACAGGGAATGCAACTTGTTTGTAAGTTAGGGAACACCTGTATGAAGGAACTAGGTAATTTACTATTATGAGCCAGAGTAAACAAATTGTATGTCAAGAAACTATAAATCATTTCTATGGTAGTCATGAATTTGCAGGGTGTTAGTTTTGTTGGTAATTGCTTTTCTTCTGAGCAGATTAAAATTGTATTTTCTGAAAATTGGTTTATGTATATGTATACTCGAATGTGCCAAAGAATCGATATCAGTAGGTAGATACTTAAAAATGTCAACATTAATTCTCTACCTCACAATTGTGGGGGTTTTACACATGTACATGTATACATTCAATAAATTTTTATTGAATATTAAAATAAATAATGTTTACTTCATTTTTCTATAATTTATATGTGCATGTCTAATTCTTAAGTAGTCTTCAAGCATCAAGATTAGTTTGCCCAAAATGCATTGGATGCTGTTGGCTTTCTTTTGTGCCTACCAGTATTTTATTACATGTAAACTACATTACTTTTGTATTACATAAAATGAAATAAAAATTTGAATTTCTAATGTTTATTTTTACTAATCTGAAGGTACAGATCACATAGGAGATGAGGATGAATGCCCTGTGGATGGTACTGTGGTCACCATTGGACATGAGGGATGCCAGAGGGCTCCCCCACCACTCATGGAAGCTGTGCATCTTAAGGACCATCTGGCACAGAACCCTTCAGAGTACTCCTACTTTGACAGCCACCTGTTGTCTGCCTGGGCTGGGCCGGGACATTGGAGAATGCGACCATTATCTAAAGGTTGTAGAGTAGTACTTACCCCTCATTCCAAGCAGTTTTTCTTGTACTTCTTAATCATACTTGTTTCACCTGTGTTAATAACTATTAACACAAATATAAACCACTGTACCATTCCACTTCTTGGAGTTGTATTATGGATTTCACTAAACTAGGGTTCTGGTGTGTGTAAGAAAAGTTTTGAGAATAGTGTGTTGGGAAAGAGGGGCTGGTGCAGGTGAAATCCCTGGCTAAGAACAGAATAGGAAGAAATGCACCTAACAGTTACATGGAGATTGGTTGGGCCTGTCCTTATTTATGGATGTGAAATGCTTGTATGGCATGCATAGGGAAGACAGTGTCATAGATAGATGTAAATTTTGAAAGTATGTATATTGTAAGATTGAGGTGTGCGAACTAAGATACCCATGTTCAACAAATGGATGGAAGTAGAGATCTTCTTTCAACAAACTGGCTGTATCCCACTGAGGCGGGGTGGCCCAAAAGGAAAAACGAAAGTTTCTCCTTTTACATTTAGTAATATATACAGGAGAAGGGGTTACTAGCCCCTTGCTCCCGGCATTTTAATCGCCTCTTACGACATGCATGGCTTACGGAGGAAGAATTCTGTTCTGCTTCCCCATGGAGATAAGAGGAAATAAACAAGAACAAGAACTAGTAAGAAAATATTAGAAAACCCAGAGGGGTGTGTATATATTTGCTTGTACATGTATGTGTAATGTGACCTAAGTGTAAGAAGAAGCAGCAAGACATGCCTGAAATCTTGCATGTTTTTTTTTCTTTCTTTCTTTCAACACACCGGCCGCATCCCACCGAGGCGGGGTGGCCCAAAAGGAAAAACGAAAGCTTCTCCTTTTACATTTAGTAACACATACAGGAGAAGGGGTTACTAGCCCCTTGCTCCCGGCATTTTAGTCGCCTCTTACGACACGCTTGGCTTACAGAGGAAGAATTCTGTTCCACTTCCCCATGGAGGTAGGAAATAAACAAGAACAAGAACTAGAAAGAAAATACAGTGGACCCCCGCATAACGATGGCATCACATAGCGATTATTTCGCATACCGCTTACTTTAATTGCAAAAATTTTGCCTCACATACCGCTTAAAAACCCGCTTACCGATTTTCGTCCGAGACGCGTCCAATGTGCGGCCTGAGCCACGCTCACATGTTCCGCCGGTGGCATTGTTTACCAGCCAGCCTCCGCGGTAACATCCAAGCATACAATCGGAATATTTCGTATTATTACAGTGTTTTCGGTGCTTTTTCTGGAAAATAAGTGACCATGGGCCCCAAGAAAGCTTCTAGTGCCAACCCTACAGCAATAAGGGTGAGAATTACAATAGAGATGAAGAAAAAGATCATTGATAAGTATGAAAGTGGAGTGCATGTCTCCGAGCTGGCCAGGTTGTATAATAAACCCCAATCAACCATCGCTACTATTGGTGGTACAGCTGCTGCTGCTGCTGCACTGTCACTGTCAGCTGCTGCGCTGCTGTAGCACCGTTGTTGGTGTGGCTTATTGAGAATACCAAGAAACAATTAACCCCAGAGGATTTGCCACCCAGGATAACCCAAAAAAGTCAGTGTCATCGAAGACTGTCTAACTTATTTCCATTGGGGTCCTTAATCTTGTCTCCCAGGATGCAACCCACACAAGTCGACTAACACCCAGGTGAACAGGGAAAAATGCCTGGAACTAGTGCTCATATTGGTGAATTTAAAGCCAGCAAAGGTTGGTTTGAGAGATTTAAGAATCGTAGTGGCATACACAGTGTGATAAGGCCTGTTCTGGAAGAAAATGCCAAACAGGACCTACAGTACTCAGGAGGAAAAGGCACTCCCAGGACACAGTGTCTCATCAGTCATTGCTGCATCTTCAATAAAGGTAAGTGTCATTTATTCTTCATTTAGTAGACTAGTACATGCACAATATATACTGTGCATGTACTACTCTACTATTGTGCATGTATCCTTCTCTTTGTGTGTGGGAAAATGTATATTTCATGTGGTAAAATTTTTTTTTTCATACTTTTGGGTGTCTTGCACGGATTAATTTGATTTCCATTATTTCTTATGGGGAAAATTCATTCACATAGCGATTATTTCGCATAACAATTACCCCTCTTGCACGGATTAAAATCGTTAACCGGGGGTCCACTGTAGAAGAAAACCCAGAGGGGTATGTAAGTATATATATGCTTGTACATGTATGTGTAATGTGACCTAAGTGTAAGTAGAAGTAGCAAAACGTACCTGAAATCTTGCATGTTTATGAGACAGAAAAAAGGACACTACCAATCCTACCATCATGTAAAACAATTACAGGCTTTTGTTTTACACTCACTTGGCAGGACGGTAGTACCTCCCTGGGCGGTAGCTGTCTACCAACCTACTACCTAGGGAAGTAGAGATATAAGAATATATTCAAGTGAATTTGAGAGGTGAAGGGAGAGAAATGCAAAGATGATTGGCATATATGGAAAGTTTGTTTTGAAAAAAAAAATAGATTACTGGTAAGTAGTAACAGCACACAAGACATGGTACAGATCAAGACTTAATGAATGTTTTTATACCATTACTGTGATAGTTTAAGAGGAGTGCCTGCTACACATAACATACAAAGGGGCTTGGGATCTTTGCAGTTTTAGAGTGACGTCTAAACTGTCATATTTGTGTGTCTCTGACAAGACAGTGATAGTGTGAATGGTGATGAGTGTCTCTTTCTGGTCACCTTGCTTTGGTGGGAGATGGCCAGCATGTTAAAAAGAAATTTGGTGTAATGCTGAGTGGAAGTGTGAATGGCTTGTATATTGCTTAGAATATTTTTAATATATTTAATAGCTTTCTATATAACTATAATCTAGTAAATGCTTTCCCATTCGATGTAATAAGCGTAATCTATTTTTCTAACCTGTTTAGCAAAATGCTTCTTATTTTTTTTCAGCAATGAAATCCATCAGCAGTAACAAAACAGATGATGGTAAAAAGAAGAAAAGGGAATTTATCAGTCTGATATATGAAGAAGAGGATCCAGAGATAGAGAAGTTATTCGCAGTGACCCGGAAAGCAACCAAACTAACAAATTTAACTTTAAGACAGTGGAACAAAGAAAAAACCACTTTACCCATTGACCTCCACTATGAATCAAGAAATTTTACCAAGTTAGTTATATTATTGTATTTGTTATAAAAAATGCAGTATAATTCTGTTAAAACTGAATTAATAAGAAATAGTGAGAAGCTATATTTCTCAGTTTTCTCTAAGTAAACTTAAAATTTCAGTTTAAGAAACAGTTATGCTTCTATAATGGAATAGATAAAAATGCTTTGCAACATCAGATGTTTCAGGTACGCGATATAAAATAAATAGGTGTTTAGTGCAAACCCACTGAAAAAAGGAATAATGTGAAGTACAGCCATATAATATGGTGCAGAGGTGACATTAAAACATCAAAGATGGTTAACACAAACCCACTACCATTATAGTATGCTCCTTGCTTAGCGACGAATTCATTTACCGATGTGGTCTTAGGAATGGATCTCCGTTATTAACCCTTGAACTGTCCAAATGTAGATCTACGTTTTTTTTCAACATTTGAAAGTATGTAAAAAAATGTAGATTTTTTTTTTTTTTTTACATTTCAAAGTGTGTAAAAAAACTGATCTACTTTTTTTTTTAAATATGTAAAAAAAAACGTAGATCTATTTTTGGAGCACTACACATGGGAACGTAGATCTATGTTTGGACAGTTCAAGGGTTAAGTGAGGAGAGACTGTATAGTAAGCCCTCGATATAATGGCCTTTTAAAATAATGGGCAAAGTTCACTGTGTAAATTGTACTTTTAGCTTCTTAATTTTCAGTTTTGTTACAATATAACCGTAAATTGAGGGTACAGTACTATAATAGGTTTACAGTAGAATATTAAGTTTTTTGCAATTTTTTTTATTTAGATTTTAGGGATACTCAGATAATTCCCCAATTAATCTGTTTTATTGAGAGTTTACTGTAGTACAGTATTAGAAATGGTGTGAGTAGGAAATTATTCTTAGCCAAAAAAAAAAAAAAAAAAAAAGACATGATTGGCTGTACTATAACATTTAAGAGAAACAGAGTCAGATATTTTAAGGAAACTAACAAAGTATTGAAATTGCATTAAATTGTGCATTCTTAAAAAAAAAAAAAATTGAAAACAGGCTCTGTTAATCTAGGTTAAGGAAATTAAAAGTGTAGCATTGGTACAGTTGATCACACAGGCTAGTTACCTTGACAGGGTGTGGTCTTGGGGTGTGTGTTTGTGTGTGTGTATGTGAGTGAGAGAAGGAGAGTGAGAAAGAGTTGAGTGTGTGTGCATGTATGTGTGAATGAATGAGAGGAAAAGAGAATGAGAGAATGAATGCACCACTTATCTTTTTCCCTTTGTCAATTTTGTGGTTCACCACATCTTTCACAGACATGTCTACCAGTAAGTTCGCTACCAAATACTTTATCTTAACACATTCACTTCCTCCACATTCCCTCCTTACAAGGGAGGGAATGAAACTACTGCTGTATATTAATAAATTTGTATTTATAGGTTGTTTGGGCGTCCAGCAATTGTGATACAACGGCAGAAAAAGGCAGCTGCCGTGGATGATAGCATTAATGAATATGATTATGATAATCAGAACGACAGAGATAATTACTGTGCTGAGGTGGTAAGTTTTTAAAGCTTTTGTAAAAAAAGTATCCACATATTGGCACTGAATTATCATTATTTTTTTTATTATTATCACACTGGCCGATTCCCACCAAGGCAGGGTGGCCTGAAAAAGAAAAACTTTCACCATCATTCACTCCATCACTGTCTTGCCAGAAGGGTGCTTTACACTACAGTTTTTAAACTGCAACATTAACACCCCTCCTTCAGAGTGCAGGCACTGTACTTCCCATCTCCAGGACTCAAGTCTGGCCTGCCGGTTTCCCTGAACCCCTTCATAAATGTTACTTTGCTCACACTCCAACAGCACGTCAAGTATTAAAAACCATTTGTCTCCATTCACTCCTATCAAACACGCTCACGGGATGCCTGCTGGAAGTCCAAGCCCCTCGCACATAAAACCTCCTTTAAACCCCCCCCCTCCAACCTTTCCTAGGCCGGGCCCCTACCCCGCCTTCCTTTCCACTACAGACTGATACACTCTTGAAGTCATTCTGTTCGCTCCATTCTCTCCACATGTCCGAACCACCTCAACAACCCTTCCTCAGCCCTCTGGACCCAAAAGTTTTGGTAACCCTGCACTTCCTCCTAACTTCCAAACTACGAATTCTCGCATTATATTCACAAAACACATTGCCCTCAGACATGACATCTCCACTGCCTCCAGCCTTCTCCCCACTGCAACATTCATCACCCCTGCTTCACACCCATATAAGGCGTTGGTAAAACTATACTCTCATACATTCCCCTCTTTGCCTCCAAGGACAAAGTCTTTGTCTCCACAGACTCCCAAATGCACCACTCACCCTTTTCCCCTCATCAATTCTATGATTTACCTCATCTTTCATAGACCCATCCGCTGACACATCCACTCCCAAATATCTGAATACATTCACCTCCTCCATACTCTCTCCCTCCAATCTGATATCCAATCTTTCATCATCTAATCTTTTTATCCTCATAACCTTACTCTTTCCTGTATTCACTTTTAATTTTCTTCTTTTGCATACCCTACAAAATTCATCCACCAATCTCTGCAACTTCTCTTCAGAATCTCCCAAGAGCACAGTGTCATCAGCAAAGAGCAACTGTGACAACTCCCACTTTATGTGTGATTCTTTATCTTTTAACTCCACGCCTCTTGCCAATACCCTCGCATTTACTTCTCTTACAACCCCATCTTAAACAACCACGGTGACATCACACATCCTTGTCTGAGGCCTACTTTTACTGGGAAATAATTTCCCTCTTTCCTACATACTCTAACTTGAGCCTCACTATCCTCGTAAAAACTCTTCACTGCTTTCAGTAACCTACCTCCTACACCATACACCTGCAACATCTGCCACATTGCCCCCCTATCCACCCTGTCATACGCCTTTTCCAAATCCATAAATGCCACAAAGACCTCTTTAGCCTTATCTAAATACTGTTCACTTATGTGTTTCACTGTAAACACCTGGTCCACACACCCCCTACCTTTCCTAAAGCCTCCTTGTTCATCTGCTATCCTATTCTCCGTCTTACTCTTAATTCTTTCAATAATAACTCTACCATACACTTTACCAGGTATACTCAACAGACTTATTCCCCTATAATTTTTGCACTCTCTTTTGTCCCCTTTGCCTTTATACAAAGGAACTATGCATGCTCTCTGCCAATCCCTAGGTACCTTACCTTCTTCCATACATTTATTAAATAATCGCACCAACCACTCCAAAACTACATTCCCACCTGCTTTTAACATTTCTATCTTTATCCCATCAATCCCGGCTGCCTTACCCCCTTTCATTTTACCTACTGCCTCACGAACTTCCCCCACACTCACAACTGGCTCTTCCTCACACCTACAAGATGTTATTCCTCCTTGCCCTATACACGAAATCACAGCTTCCCTATCTTCATCAACGTTTAACAATTCCTTGAAATATTCCCTCCATCTTCCCAATACCTCTAACTCTCCATTTAATAACTCTCCTCTCAAATTTTTAACTGACAAATCCATTTTTCTCTAGGCTTCCTTAACTTGTTAATCTCACTCCAAAACTTTTTCTTATTTTCAACAAAATTTGTTGATAACATCTCACCCACTCTCTCATTTGCTCTCTTTTTACATTATCATGTACCTATAAGTTGAAAATAAAAACTAGATAACAGTTTGAGTATGTTGCTGTTTATTCTGGATGTAGTAGTAGTATGACATGTCTTTTTCATATGCTGTTTTACTTATTTTAATGTCCAGAGAATATGGCACCGACTTAGAAATTTTATATTTTTCTTGGTGGGAAGAGGGGAAATGTCCGATGTGGTAAAAAGATTATCTTATGGAAGAACTTATCCAAGTGCTCATATTTTTATAGTATATGTAGTAAGTCTAGGCAGTAGGTTGGTAGACAACAACCGCCCGGGGAGGTACACTACCTTCGTGCCAGGTGAGTGTAAAACGAAAGCCTGTAATTGTTTTACATGATGGTAGGATTGCTGGTGTCTTTTTTTTCTGTCTCAGAAACTTGCAAGATTTCAGGTACATCTTGCTACTTCTACTTACACTTAGGTCACACTACACGTGCATGTACAAGCATATGTATACACACCCCTCTAGGTTTTCGTCTATTTTCTTGCTAGTTCTTGTTCTTGTTTATTTTCTCATCTCCATGGGGAAGTGGAACAGAATTCTTCCTCTGTAAGTCATGCATATCATAAGAGGCAACAAATGTGCCAGGAGCAATGGGCTAGTAACCCGTTCTCCTGTATTCATTACTAAAGTTAAAGAGAGAAAATTTTGTTTTTCTTTTTGGGCCACCCTGCTTCGGTGGGATAAATCCGGTGTGTTGAAAGAAGATGATGTAGTAAGTATTGTTCTCTAGGATTATTGATTCAAGATTAACAATAACTAGAATATTTAGGCTTCTTATATTGTAGTTAATGGTGTTGGTATTGTATCACATTAAAAACTTTTTCTGCAGGATGATGGAGGAAGTGCTTACGAAGATAACTCTGTACGGGGCTATGATATGACTGAAATATTCAGTCAGACTGTAGTAGGCTCACAACCGCTCAATGGAGAGGACCCGGAAAATAAAGCTTCAGACTTCTTGGAAAACTTAGTAGCTGCTCCTAATAAGGTCAGAATATTTGTTTATATATTATATAAAGTAAGAATAAGGGAAAAGAGGACAAAAAAGCTTAAAAGTTTGCATAAAGTGTAAAAATTCTGGGGAAATAAGTCTTTTGAGTATACCAGGTAGTGTGCTGCATAATTGTTATTAAGAGGAGTTGGGTGAATTTAGGAGGGTAAGGTAATATGTGGTTTAAGATTCTAAGGGAAATAAGCTGCGAAGAAGAAAGTTGAGAGCCAGATCTTAGGTTACTGGAGGAAGGAAGAGGAGGTTTTATGATCCAAACATGGCATAATATAGAGCATAGACAAGGATGAGCTATTACCAGAGATACATTGATAAGTTTTAAGAGCAGGTATGATGGGGCCCACTGGGCTAGGAGGGAGTAAATGTAGCAGGTGGCAAGTTGAGAGGCAGTGCCAGGAGCTAAAACTCAGCCCCTGCTACCACATGTAGCAGAGTGCATATAGGTGAGTACATTGCACAACTTGCCCATATACAGTTACTCCCAGCACAGTATACAGTGGACCCCCGGTTAACGATATTTTTTCACTCCATAAGTATGTTCAGGTGCCAGTACTGACCGAATTTATTCCCATAAGGAATATTGTGAAGTAGATTAGTCCATTTTAGACCCCCAAACATACACGTACAAACGCACTTACATAAATACTCTTACATAATTGGTCGCATTCAGAGGTAATCGTTATGCGGGGGTCCACTGTATTTAATATTAGCATAGAATATTACTCTTAATTCTGAGATGTTCTTTCTATCCCTTAAAAAGTATGATAAACTTATGCAAGTTACATATATGTGAAAAAGTAAGCATATTTTACTTCATATTGTAGGTTTCATTAAATTGTACAGCTACTCCCACACTGCCAGGCTCCATACATCATTGGCACTCGACACTATCAATTAATTTCCCCTGACAGTCATGACGTACATCTTTCTGACAAATATTTAAGAAATGCATTGCAGTAATACACAGTGTAGCTTCATATATATGATACTGGATTATTTTCATTTCATATTCTGAAAGTTAGTTAAAACTACTAATGCCAACCACATCACAAGGCTCATACATCATCTACTCTCACTGCCTTCACATATAGGGTTTGTGGGTCTTTTCTCAATTTTTGCATGTATTGTCCCTACTTGATGCATCAGAAGGACTGGAATATGTAGATTTACTGTCCAGAATAAAAATAATGCCATAAGTATTCAGAAAGAACTTCAGTGTATAAAAAGCTTTATAGTCCATTTTCATGACAAAGAGCTGTCTAAGAAGTAGTTTATACATGTTAATTAATCCTTTGTCAGTTGTATTTTACTTTATAAAGTTGTTTTGTTTGCTTGGGATTTTGACTTATCAATTTTTACTTTCGAGGTGTTAGACTGTAGTATGGTATGTTTTGAGGAATATCAGAAAAATTGTGCTTGTGTGTAACAAGAATCTGCATTAATTTATATTCCTTCATTCAGTAGATTTTGTGATCTAAAAATCATTTTATTGTCATTTATCCTTCTAAGAAATCTGAAATGCATTATTCTGTATTTTTTCAGGTGGCAAAAATTAGTATTAATTATGCTCGGACTGCAAAGAAAATTGACATGAAAAAGCTGAAGTCAACAATGTGGTCTTTGCTTGCTGTTTCAAGTAATAACAAAGAAAATGAGCAACTGTAAGTATGCTTGAAATATTTACAAATTATAGACTCAACTGTTATCAATTTATTGTCTCCTTGAATAACTACTATAGTTATCCCTTGCTTAATGTCCAAGATAGGGACTGTAAGAATGGTTCGTTAAGCACAAATTACATTAGGCGAATCATCTTTTCCCATAAGATCCCATGTTATAACATGAGATGCTGAGCAGGATAGTAATTTCCTATATTTAATTTGAGATTTTTTTACATTAAGTTAATCTAATTTTACCATGGAAGTCCTTCCAGAGGTAGGTTCATTGTTTAGTAGAGGCATATTAGCATTATGCACCTGTTTTATGAATGCACAACAAAACCTACCTAGAGAAGCATCATGTCTGTTTTTGGGTTGTGACCATTCTGAGGCTGATTTTGTTGGGTTTAACCCTTTCAGGGTTCGTCCCGTAGAGCTACGGCTTCACGTTGAGTGTCCAAACCGTAGATCTACGCCAAAATCTAGCGCCGTCAAATTTAGCGCGAAAACGCTCATAGGCCTACATGTGAGAGAACGGGTCTGCGTGGTGGGTGTGCGCCATAAACAAAAAATCTAGGCGCCCGCATAGCATTGTGGGAACGCCGGCTCAGTTACCCTTGTTCACCATGCCTCGTCGCAAAGTCAGCTCTCACTCCCCGGAAAATTGGGACTCTCCTCTTCCTATCTGATAGTTCTGACACTGATGGAAGTGGAAATGAAGACGAATTCTACGGCTTTGATCAGTTAGTGACCGAAAAGAATGACCAGGATATCGATAATAGTGCAGAAAACCCTGACGATCCTCAACCTTCTACCTCTCGTGTGGGCACTCGTGACTCACGGTCGGTTGTTCCTCATCGCAAGAGAAAACTAATATTTTCGCATGGCCAGGCCTCTGACTTCAGTAATGATGATGATAGTGACGTGGACTGTGATTTTATTGTGCTCGACGATCATTCGAGTAGTGATAGTGAGGAATCATATTCACCAGTGAAGCGTCGGTATGTTCGCCGCCGCATGCGCTCGGGTAGTGTACCCTATGCTGTGCCCAGGGGACGGAGTACATCCCGTGGCCCAACACCAGTTTTAGGTAGTGATAGTGAGGATGATGTGGCTACACTTGGCATGGATAGACCACAGGCATCAGTGGATGGTGTTAGTGGTGATGGTAGTGGCACTGCCATGCGTGACTCGCCAGGCCACGCTGGGACCCACGCTGCTGACTCGTCAGTTCAAGGACAAAGTGGAGCGCCAGCCACCAGCCCACCACAACCACAACCACCCGCACAACCAGCCTATGATGTCCAGTATCCACCAGCAAACCGTATGTGGGATTGGCAGCAAAATCCCTATTTTGTTCCCAAGCCTCACCACTTTGATGACTCTCAAAGTGGAATTCTACCTACTTGTCCCCTTGGAACCACGGCCAATGAACTGGAATTCTTTGAATTATTCTTTGATCAGCCATTGATGGAAATTATTGTCAGGGAAAGTAATAAGTATTTTGAGTACACCATGGCAAATACGATCTTATCACCACAGTCAAGACTACACAGGTGGAAAGAGACGACTGTTGCAGAAATGTATTTGCTTTTTGCAACAATAATGCTTATGCCTCACGTCTATAAGCATAATATAAAAGCATACTGGTCCACAGATCGGCTAATTTCTACCCCGGTCTTCAGTGAAATCATACCAGTGAACAGGTTTATCTTACTCTTATGTATGTTGCACTTCTCTGACAAAACCAGGCCTGACAGAAGTGACAAGTTATACAAGATTAGAAATGTTTTCATGTATCTCAAACAAAAGTTCAGCATATACTTTTATCCATTCAAGAATCTTGTAATTGACGAGTCTTTGATTTTGTTCAAAGGTAGACTGTCATTCAAGCAGTATATACCGAGCAAGAGGAAACGCTTTGGTATAAAACTGTTTGTACTCTGTGATTGTGACAGTGGCCTGGTGTTGGATATTGTTGTATACACGGGTAGTAAAACATTGAAAGATACCAAGATGTTATTGGGTATCTCAGGTGACGTAGTGAGAAACATGATGGCACCTTATCTTGGTAAGGGGCATACATTATATACCGATAACTGGTACACAAGCCCATTACTCAGTGATTTCATGCGAGTGAACAAGACAGATGTGTGTGGCACAGTGCGTTCTAATCGTAAACATATGCCCAGGCTCAACGCAGGTGCTCGTGGTGATGACGTGCAGGTGTTTACTGCCAATGACATCATGGCATTACGGTGGCATGACAAACGAGGTGTCACATTGTTGACAACCATTCACCGTAATGAAATGCAAGACAGTGGCAAAGTTGATCGAGTGACTAATGAACGTATTCGAAAACCAGTGACAGTGATTGATTATACACAAAACATGCGCTTGGTTGACAAATGTGACATGCAGATTGGTTTTGTTGACTGTGTTCGTAAGAGTTACAAGTGGTACATGAAACTTTTCTTCCATCTCATGGACATTTCAATGCTCAATGCATATAATATGTACCAAATAAAGACTGGCAACAGACCACCGTATGGTAAATTTTGTTTGTCTGTTGTCAGACAACTCATAATGAAGTACCAGGTAACAACTCCTGCAATACAACACGGTCCTCGAATTCCTCAGGATACACCCAAGCGTTTGAGGAGGGAAGGTGATCATTTCATAATACAACTTACTTCAACTCAGAAGAAATTTGCTCAGAAGAGATGCATCGTCTGTGCACAAACAAAACGACGGCAACAAAGACGCAAAGACACTCGGTTTATGTGTGAGGAATGTAAGGTGCCTCTGTGCATGGTGCCTTGTTTCAAGGAGTTCCACAAGCTCCAGCAGTTCTAAAACCATGTCCAGTGATTGTAAATATATGATAGAACATTAGTATTATACAAGATTTGTGCATGTTTATTGTAATAAACAACAGTGGTAAACAATAATATGATAATAACTTTAGTGCGGTTATTGTGTTCAATACAGTGGGAGACGACCAACTTTTTTGAAAAAAAAAAAAAATACAGTATTGGTCTCTCAGGCCCCAAATGTTAGTAGGAATAGAAAAAAATTGGAAAAGAAAAGAAAAAACAACAAAAACCGCAAGATAATGTAATGCACGTATGTGGAATTCGTCGATGTTGCCGCCACCACATCATTTTTGACAAACTTCTTGGCACTGTATCTCGGTAAGTACTGATCAGAATTTTTTTTTTTGTCTTATTACCTTCACAAAAATATGCTCTTTAATTCTGTAAGAATTTTTTTTTTTTTTTTTTTTTTTTTTTTTTTTTTTTTTTTTCCAAAATTTCTTGGACACTGGAGCACCACTTCAGATTTTGGCCTTGGACCCTGAAGGGGTTAAAGGTTGTGGCAGCTCCTAGACTGACTGTTGTTAGGTTTAAAGGTTGTGGCAGTTCCTAGACTGACTGTTGTTGGGTTGAAGTGTTACAGCTCGTACACCGACTTGTTGGTACTAAAAGACTTGCAGTGACCCTTCTCCTTCACTTCCCTCCTCCTCCTCTCTCCCTTCTCCTTCCATCCTCCAATCAACAATAATCACCATCAACACCAACCAGCTCCACAGCAGCAATACCATGTGCAGTGTGTGTTAATTTGTTGGTTTCACCTTTGTTTTTGTTGAAGTAATCACAATCTACATTTTCCCTGTCTTGGTGTGTGCCACTTGTGATGAAACGAACCATAGGATTTTGTTCAAAATAGTCTCATTCAGATTCCTTCTTCCAGATCTCTCTTAGTTCGGCATTTCTTACGACAGTCAACAGAAGCCACATTAGAGCAATATTTAATGAGATATTGTGAAAAAAATCAACTAATCTTATGAAGATGTCTCATAAGATTTCACATTTATTGATGAATGTTTATGAAAAAATGTGAGTTTATTACACACATACCATATGGTTCTTTTTATTTATTTTTTAACACGTCTGCCGCCGTCTCCCACCCAGGCAGGGTGACCCAAAAAAGAAAGAAACTCACCATCATTCAACACTTTCACCATCATTCACACATGATCACTGTCTTTGCAGAGGTGCCCCAATACAACAGTTCAGATGTTACTCCAAACAGCCAATATCCCAAATCCCTCCTTTAAAGTGCAGGCACTCTACTTTCCACCTTAAGGACTCAAGTCCAGTTATATGTAGAAAATAAGTGAAATTGATCAAAACCTAGAGGAGGAAAAATTGAATTTTAAATTCTTTCATACTTCCTCTTTTCTTTTTGGTTAGTTTTTCTTATGACAGTCTGTAGCTGCAATAATAATGATAATGAGATATTGTGAAAAGGAACTATGCACTCTCAGCTAATCCCTAGGTACTTTCTCCCCTTTCATATATTTAATGAACACCTACACCAACCACTCCAAAACTATATCCTCACCTGATTTTAACATTTTTGTTTTGATCCCATCAGTCTTTGCTGTGTTACCCCCTTTCATTCTACCCACTATGTCATGCACCTCCCCACACACTCATCTGCCTTTTCCTCGCTCCTAAAGAATGTTATACTTCCCTGCCCAGTGTGTGAAATCATTGCCTTCCCCTTCATCAACTTTTAACAGCTCCTCAAAAAAAATTAACACCAGCTGTCTCCTATCTCAGCAGGGTGACCTGAAAAAGAACCACTGCTGATGATTATTGAAAATTCCTGCCCTAGATCATTTTTTTCCCTATATACTGTCTTTTAAAGCACTAGCTGTCTCCCACTGAGGTAAGGTGACCCAAAAAAGAGGAAACATTCTCTTTCTTTCAACGCATCAGCAATATCTCACCAAGGTGGGGTGGCCCAAAAAAGAAAAACCAAAGTTTCTCCTATTACATTTAGTAATATATACAGGAGAAGGGGTTACTAGCCCCTTGCTCCCGGTATCCCTGACATCACAGTTTGGATGGCCCTACAAGCTGCAGCATCCTCACCCCTCTGGAGTGCAGGTACTGTACTTCTCACCCAGCAGGACTCTAGTCCGATTAGCTGATTTACATGAATCACTTCATAAGTATTACCTTGCGAACACTCTAAAAGCACATAAAGGCACAAAAACTACATGCCTACTGTCATTCTGCTGTAATGCGCTCACACAAGCCTGTTAGATGTTTGAGCCTTAGCACTTAAAACCTTCTTTACCACCTCCCTCCACCCTATCGTAGAACTACCCCTGCAGATTCTTTCCCTAAACCAAGATTTATATACTCTTAGCATGCATGCATGCATGCATGCATGCATGCATGCATGCATGAAAATATGCATTCTCTATGGACAGGGTGGACTATGAAGGTGGTTTTGGCAAGTAAGTTAACTTTTATAATGGATAAATTCTATAAAGTTTCTCTTGTGTAGGAAATGCATACTATAATGGCATTTTATATTTCAGTTTTGTTACTGTTGCAGGTTAGAGAACCACAGTGATAACCTGCCAGCTTGTCAGGTCAAAATGGACATCAATGAAAGAATAGAATTCTCAAGTTTGTACAAGAAGTTAGCCCCAAAATTATCTTCAAAGATGCAAGAGAACCTCTCAGTACCACTGGCCTTCATTGCACTTCTTCACCTTGCTAATGAACACAGTTTGAAGATTTGTAATAGAGAAGACATGTTAGACTTCATCATCATGCAAGGATAATAATCAGGCTTTATTGTTTATAATTGATGTCATTGGTAACTAATAATGCATCGTACGCACCACTTGTACCTGATAATTCTAGGCAGTCTAAGGTGTAACCCTTAAATCTAAGTGTTTTATATATGAAAGAAAATAGAAGTTTTGTGCAGAATGCTTTAAAGCTAATGTATCTGAAAAGTTCTTATCCTCATCCTTTGTATAACTTTCTGCCTATAGCTGTTTTCAACAACAAAATTAAATTTTAGTTGTTCACTTCATTATCTTCGTTTAAACAAAATTGTATATATATATATATATATATATATATACTTTTATAAATGTATTTTTCTTTTACTCTAGGCTGCTGTTTGAGGAATTTACAAAATACATATTTGAATTATATTTAAATATGCTTTGTGAAAATGAATAATATTTTATTTATCATAAAGCCAAGACTAAGGTGGTATATTGCTCACCAAAAAGAAAAAAAAATTGGTGTGATTGTTACCTATTCTCTGATTTCATTCACATTACAGACTACTCTCCATTTTCACAACCCCCTCCATTTTTTAGCCTAGCATTTTATTTCTTCTACATGAAATGAAAAAAATGTAATCACTGTAGTTGGAAATAAAACACTTGTGAATATTTATGAGCACATAATAAGAGGAAATGGTAATTTTTAGTGTGTAAAGAGACCTGAGAGTGCAACAAGTGTTTTCCAGCAGTTGTGATTACTTTTTAAGACTTCTGTTACACTTGTACATTATGCTTAATTCTTTAATTGTCATGAGAGAGGGAGGGATCAGAGTCATTTTTCCAGTGATATTATTTTGTAATAGAAATCGATCTGTTAATTAATGCCTCTTGTTTTTAAACATACCATATATCAACTAAAAATGTATGCAAATTTATAATGAATTTATATAAAAAATGAAGTACACTGACATCACTGCAAATGACCCTCTAAAGCTCAACATCTCTATCTGTTCTTCAGAGTGCATTTTTTTTTTTTTAATTTCTGCATCCAAAATTCATGTTACCTCGTTTGCACTCCAACAGCAAGTTCTATACCAACAACTACACTTTCTGACTAGTTCCAGTCTAATACCTCTTCAACGGGGGCTCCTTGGCGTGGTGAAGAGGCTCTTGGTCTGAGGAATTAGACCTGTCGGTCTCCTTCCTCAGACCGAACCTAATTACTCCCCAATCCCCCCTTCTCTATCCCATCCTCCCCTTTTCCCTTTCCTCCTCCCCCTCCCTTTTGCCCTTCCTCTTTTTGGCCTTTGGGATTTTTCCCACAGGCGCGCTAGTTCCTAGGTAGGGGAAAGGGTACCTGGGTCCATCCCACTCCGTTGAGGTTCTTGGCGGTGGCGTAGTTTGCCGTGGAATCTGGATCGCCTGGGGATGTCCTGATCCCTCTCCTGTATCCCAGAGAGTGGCTTTGGGTGTCTTTCGGGCGACGGGTGTATCTCTGGAAGCCACCTTTCGGATTCTGGGGGTGGTGGCCGAAGGAGGTATGCTTTGTGGCGTATATCAGGCCGCCCTCTCTTTTGTCCACCGAGGTAGCTCGGCAGATGTGAGGTTGCTATCCTGGATTGCTGGTTTACTGGCATGATGGGTAGGGTATGGCACGGGTTCCATGCTGCATCTACGCTACTTGTGGTGCTGAGGTCCTCTTGAGCGTGGAGGAAGATTTCTGGCCCTTTCATTCCTCCTAGGAACTATCCCTTCCCGGTCCCCCCTTTTTTTTTCTTTTTTTTTTCTTTTCTTTTTTTTTTCTTAAAAACAAAAAGAAAGAAGTAACCTAACCATGGAGAACCTAATCCATGAACCTGGTACCCCCGAGCCCCTTCTTGATACCGCACCCCGTTCTGACCCTGCCTCGTCTTTGGACCACTCATCAGACACTCCTCATACCTCTGTACCTCTTGCCGGTGCTGATTCCTCACCTGCTTCAGGTACTGAGGTCTCGACTGACTCCTTTGATTTATCTGACCTCTGCTCTCCTTTGACTATGCTTCCGGCCTCTCCCTCTACGGTGCGGCAATTTTCGAGTCGCCGGCCCATTCCACGTCGGACCAACTCTGGTCCCACGCCTAAACGCCAACGACAATTACCTGCTGATGATACTTCTCCACCTTCTCGTTCTTCTCAGAAAAGATCGACACGTCCTGCACTCCCTTTCCACGCTCAGTTTCAGACTGCACAGTGGACTAAATTCTTCACTTTACGACCGACTTCCTCTACCACCTATCTTTCCGACCACAGTATTGGCAAGGCACTCCTACACCATGTTGGTAAAGATATTTCTTTTCATGCTCTTAAGAGCGGTACGCGCATCATCACTGTACAGAATGCTACCCAAGCTCATGATCTTTCTCTTCTTTCCTATATAGATACTGTTCCTGTCACTATTGAAAAACATCATTCCCTCAATTCTTGTAGTGGTACCGTCATTCTGCCCCATACCATAGCTCAACAAAATTTCCAGACATGTGGTAATGACATTCTTGAACAGCTGGAGCTCCAAGATCTCTCAATCCTCAAGGTAGACACTTATGTTCTTCCTGCCCGCGGGCAGAGACGGTACCCTAGCAATGTGGCTCGTTTAACTTTTGACAGCCATGAACTCCCATCCTCAGTTTTATGTAGCAGGACATTGGTTACAAGTTCAAAAGGGTGATCCCTACACCGCAACAGTGTAGAAATTGTGGCAATTTGGCCATCCAGCGAAATATTGCAGATCCATAGCCGAATGCCCAGTCTGTGGTGCCGATGACCATTCTAATACGTCTTGCAATCGACCTCCCTCTTGCCTTAATTGTCATGGGGCTCACCCTTCGTACTCTCGCCATTGCCAAGTCCCACTTAAATGAGCGGGAAATCCGTTACCTCAAAGAAGCAGAAGGTCTCCCTTATGCCATGGCAGTTTCTCATCTCCGCCTCCAAGGAAGACTACCTCGTGTTTCATATTCCCGTGTTTCAAAACGTCCCCCCACTTCTGGGGTCCCATCTTCTGCAGCCTACTCTGTGGTTACCTCTCCCATAGTCACTCCTGTATCTAATTCTTTTGCTGTCCTAGGCTCAGACGTCCCTACTTCAACGCCTCAGTCTGTTCTCGCTTCTTCGTGTTCTCCCTCACAAGCCTCAGTATCGACGAGACCTCGTACGACACCTCCCAATCGTCCCTCTACTTCTCAGAAGTCAAAAAAAGGTCCTTTAACCCTTCCTTCCCTTCTTCCACCTCCTCATTTTACCTTCCCTGTGTCTGTACTGGGTTCTTCCCCTCTCACTGGCTCTGTAACAAGTTTAGAGGTTCACCCTCCTCCTCGTACTATACCTACCTCCCCCTGTTCCCTCCCAAGTTTCTTCCTCTTCTGCCACCTCCCAGGTTTCTCCCTCTTCTGTCCCCTTCCACGCTTCTTCTCCAGTTCCCTCCACCCTTTCGCCCCCCCTTACCTTGGTACGGTCCATTACAGTTCCAATCTTTACTCATCCTCCCTCTACCATCTCCAGTATTGTCTCCCATACGACCCTCTCTGAATTCCGAAACACTTGAAGCAATCTCTGAATATATTGCAGAGACCAAACCATCAATGGACACGGATCCACCCTCTGTTCCTTCTCTCTCGTCTCCTCCAGCTGTGCAACTCCTTTCTTCATAGCGCACCGTTCCTTCGCTGCTTGAACGTTTTCCGCTGCCTCCGCATGTGGACTTTTCTAACCCCTCTAGTCCGTAGGAACCCTTACCTGCTGATTTCAAGTATCTTTATCATTGCCAATCATGGCCTATTTACAGTAGGATATACGCGGCCTCAGGGGTAATGGGGTGAGCTTCAGATGTTACTCTGTTACTCTCCCAGTTTTCCCCTGTTGGTGTTTGCTTACAGGAACCAAAATTACACTCTGCTGTTATCTCTCCCATCTCAGTCTATAATTTATTGTATTCTTCAGATCCTTTTCCTGATGGGACCTTTAATGAAAGTGCCCTTCTTCTACGCACTGATATTCCGTACCATCAGCTATTTGTTCGTACTTCGCTGCGTTACACAGCAGCCCGTATCCACTTGCTCTGCTTCTCTCTCTTTACCTTCCCTTCTCGCTGATGGACCCACATTTCATCCGGACTCTCTCATTGACTTTTGACAACAACTGACTTACTTCACAAATTCTGATACCTTCAGCCCTTTCTACCTCAATCTCTTGCTACCCTCTACCCCTGTACTATCCCATGCCCCGCTGTTTTCTGTCCTCCTGCTCCTCCTGTCCTCTTCAATACTTCGGAGAACTGGTCAATCTCTTTCTGACAGACAAAAATAGTGTTAGGCTTGCCGACACTACACTGCTCTTTCTGTCACGTCAGAGATCTTAGCCATCCTATTGACTGGTCTTCTGCTAAAACTGTCTTCCCTACTTCCAACTCGAACAGTCGCCGTCTAGTTGAATCCTCTCTAATACACAACTTTCCTTGTATGAACCTTAGCCCTGGCTTCATCTCTGTAGATGCCTTCCTCTCCCACTACATCGTAAAATGCTCCAAACTTCAGAACACCCGTGACTTAACCTGACTCCTCATTTTTTCTTTTTCTTTTTCTTCTTCTCCCTCTTCCCCTTTCCTCTTTTCTTTTCTCCTCTGGGTTGTCTTTCTCTCTTCTGTCTCGTGTTTCTGTTCCTTCTTCATTTATTTCCTACTTCCCCTTTCACGCACCTCTGTGCGCTTGCTCTCCCTCAGTGGGCACCTAGCTCTCTTGCAGTGCTCCCCTTCCTTTGTATTTGACTGGCTTGTCCTCCTCATTTCCCACTTCTACCACTACCACTATTACTTCTACCTCCTCTACTACTACAACTACTGATGAAATTAAGACACATGTGCGGCGTCTGGTTGTCTTTGTTGTGGACGTTTCGCCATCCAGTGGCTGGCTGGATGGCGAAACGTCTACGATAGGGATGCCTGGGTGTTGCGCATGTGTCTTAATTTCATCTTGTCGGTATTATATACCATTCTTGTACTACTACTACCACCACCTCTTCCTGCCTATATATAGCCGTCCTGCTCCACTTCTGGTTAGTGTGACTTTGTCAATGGTCCAAGTCGGACCGAAACGTCGTCGTAAGCTTCTCTCTTTTATGTGCGGGTTATTTGTGTAACCTACTGATCGTCCCTCCTCCCTTCTGCCGCCTAATACCCTCGCTTCCTTCCCTACCCTGCAGCGCTGTATAGCCCTTGTGACTTAGCGCTTCTTTTTGATTATAATAATAATGATCCAGTCTAATACACACACATACTGGATGCTAAGGCTTGTGTCACTTACAATCTTCGCACCCACTTTCCAGCTCTGTCTGGAATGTGTCCCTTCACTTTCCATTCACCTTCTTGGTCAATCTCTCTTGCTCCATCATTTCTGAATTGCTAAATATCTTAAAAATCCCTTCTCCATTCTTTAAATTATGCCTTTATCATACATCATCTGATTCCTTCAATCTCTATTCCTTGCATAATATTCACATCACACATTAATCTCTAACGTGACATCTCCACTGCGTCCACCCATCTTGCTACAACATTGAAAGACCTTGCCCCTCAGGGGCAAGGTCTTGATGCTGATGAAGGGCTGTTGATCCAGGGAATTAGACTTATCCTCCCTTTCCTTAGATCAAACCTGAATGCCTCCCATTCCTCATGTGTTATATGGCTCCTGCTTATTTAGTTCTTTCCCCTGATTAAAATAAGTGAATGAATGGAAGATCATGCCTCACACATGTACAAAAGAACTGCCATTGCTAAGCTTTGGTATACATTGGACCCTTGCTTTACGATCAGCTCCCAATTATGTAAGTGTATTTATTTAAGTGCGTTTGTACGTGTATGTTTGGGGATCTGAAATGGACTAATCTAATTCACAATATTCCTTATGGGAACAAATTCGTTCAGTAATGGCACCTGAACATGCTTCTGGAATGAATTAATATCATAAGCCGGGGGTCCACTGTATTTCCTTTTTGCGTCCACTGATAAATTACAGTGGTCCCTCGCTTTTCGTAGTTCTCGGCAATCGTAAATTTCGCCAATCATAGGGGTATTTTCGTATAAACATGGACTCGCTTTT